GAAGCCCACCACTCTGTGTAATGCTTCTTGGTTCCACTGTCTCTCAGCCAGGCGTCTCTGCCAAAGAGGTGCAGTGCAGGGATCTCACGTCCAAGGGATCTCAGGTCCAAGGACGCACTCCGCTTCACCTCCAGCTCTTCTCTCTTGATGGCAGTGAGATCCCCCCTCCCACCTCTAGGAGGGTGCATTTTAAGCCTGGCAGAGTGACAAAACTAACCAATCCCAACATCAGAATTCTACACACCTTATTTGCACGGTCCCACCCAGTAATCTGGTGGGAGTTACAAAGAGTAAGGCTAGAAAAGCCATACCAAGTAATTCACTGCTCCAAAGAGGGCCACTGTCCCATTGAAAGTGAGCCTACCCACCATCAGTTCCTACTCCATGGAGCTCTCAGCTCTTTGGGTAGTGAACTACCAACTGCAGGGAAACCCCTGTGATGGGTAGAACAATGTCCCCAAAGATGCCCATATACTAATCCCCAGGACCTGTGCACATGAGGTTACATGGCCAAATGGGAGAGGAGGTTGTAGGTGGAGAGGGAATCCTGGGTCGTGGGGGACCCAGCATATAATCACAATCAGCCCCTTTAGAAGCAGAAGAAGGAGACAGAAGAGAGAGGTTTGCAGATGCTGCACTGTGGGCTTTGAGGGACCTGAGAGCCGGGGAGTGCCAGGGGCTCTAGAAGCTTCAAAAGGCAGAGACCTGGGCTCTCCCCTAGAGTTTCCCGAAGGGACACAGCCCTGCTGACACCTTGGTCTTAGCCCAGTGAGGCCCGTGTGGCACTTGTGACAGCCCTGAAGTGGAAGCTGAGTTTGTGGTCATGTGTTACAACAGCAACAGGAAACCAGTGAGAGCCCCCAAGCCTGAGGGGGAGGAGGGTCCACAGGGTGGACAGGTGTGCAAGGTGGAGCACGCTCCGTGTCAGATCATTTCCATCATATCAAACAGGGCACCAGGAAGAGCCCTTACCTGGTGGCTGAGCTCCCGTGCTGCTGCTGTCGAGTGCCATCGAGTCGTTCCAACAGAACGAAACCCTGCCCGGTCCTGCGCCAGCTCCCAGTCCTTGCCGTACCTGAGCCCATCGCGGCAGCCGCTGTCAGTCCATCTCATTGAGGGCCTTCACCTTTTTCACTACCCTCCACTTTACCAAACACGACATCCTTCTCCAGGGCATGGGCCCTTCTGACCACATGACCAGAGTAGGTGAGACGAAGTCTGGCTGCTCTCACTTCCAAGGAGCATTCTAGCTGTACTTCTTACAAGACAGATGTGTTCATTCTTCTGGTGGTCCATGGTGTGTTCATTATTCTTCGCCAACACCATAATTCAGATCTGTCCATTCTTCGGTCTTCCTTATTCGTTGTCCAGCTCTCACACGCATAAGAGGCAATTGAAAATATCACGGTTTGTGAGCTGAGCTGAACATTTACATTAGGTAGATACGCTCCTTGGAGAGATTGATCATGAGAGAATAGAAGGGTTTGCACAGGGAGGCAGGAATGCATGGGAGGGAAGGACACAGGGAAGAGGTAACTGTGGGGAGAAGGTGGCAAGAGAGCTGTTGAATTGGGAGAAATGGCCATCAATGTCATGAGACAAAGTGTACGTGAACTGCTGTATGGAAGATGAATTTACTCTGTAAATTTTCACCCAAATCACAATGAAAATTGTTTGAAAAAGAAAAATACAAAAACCACACACGAAAAAAATCATGGCTTAGGTTAGTTGGACCTTCATCCTCAAAGGACACCTTTGCTCTTTAACACTTAGAAGAGGTCTTTTGCAGCAGATTTGCCCAGAGCAGTATGTCGTCTGACTTCTTGACTGTTGCTCCCATGGGTGTTGATTACGGATCCAAGTAAAATGAAGTCCCTGACAACTTCAGTCTTTATGGAAGCAGACCGCCTCATCTTTCTCTCATGGAACAGCTAGTGGGTTTGAACCACCAGCCTTTTAATTCGTAGCTGAATGCTTTAACCACTGTGCCACCAGAGCTCCTGGTGGTCCTGTAGGCCTCTGGACAGCCAGGTGTATCTAACAGTGAGCAAATTAAAGTGCTCATGGGCCACCTTCAAGGACACACCTTCCTAGAGCAGTTCCCCACCCTTGTCATGGAGACACAATTCAGGAGAGACTTGGGGAAGAGGCGGAGGTCAGCAAAAACTGAGATGACACCGTTCAGGTGAAAACAGCAGGAAGAAGAGAGAAAGCAAATACCTTCAGTGGTGGTGAAGGTTGTGTGTCAGCTTGGCTGGGCCTGGTTGAATGGCGGGGCAGCTGGTGGTAGTTACTCCCCATGATGAGACTGGCAGTCAACTCCATGATGGGATCTACCACAAGGAGCTGAGTAGCTGCTTTGGGATGTGGTCTGCTTCCCGTATGTAAGAAGCAGCTTTGGGAACGGTCTCTAGCTTACGGCACGCTTGAACCCTGCATGTAGCTGTGTCATTGTTCAGCAGCCTGCCATGCTCTGCCGACCGTGGGACTTACAGTGGACTTGAATCAATGGCCTGCCATGTGGTTTGGTAACATCGGGACTGTGCCTTTTCCCCTGTCAACCTTGGGCTTTTCAGCCTCAGCAGCCAGCAGCTGCCTGAGTGAGGAGAAGCCTCCAGCTTCAGTGGCCGGGAGCAGGAGGCAGAGCTGAAGTCCGAGGTCGAGGGGCTTTCACCCAGCCCCCAGAGCCTGGCAGTTTGAACTCGGACTTAAAGCCTCCAAACTGTAAGGGAATAAACTCCTGTTTGTTCAGGCATCCCATTTGTGGTATATTCCTGTCAGAGTGGCACTAGGGAAGCAGAACACCTTCCTGTCTTGGAAATGGCCACCTGTATTGTTCTCTGGAGCAATGACGTCAGAGCCATGCACCTTCAAAGCCGTGATTTTAGGCAATTCAAGAAGTGTTGCTTGGGGTGTGTATACTCACCGTTTGGGTGGTGCACAGTGAAGTGCTCGATCACTAACTGACAGGTTGGCAATTGAATCTACCCAGAGGGGTGGAGACATACTTCTGAAAAATCAGCCTTCAGGAACCCTGTGGAACAGTGACACACGTGACGTCAGTGTGAGTCAGCATCGACTCATTGCCACCTGGTTTAGTTGTGGTTTGTTACACAGGCAGACTCAGAGATACCGGGGGTTCAATTCCAGACCAGTGCAATAACGCAATTGTACAATAAAGCAAATCACGCCAAGTTTTTGGTTTCCCAGTGCATTTAGAAGTCAGTTACACTAGACTGTAGTCTGTTGAGTGTGCAGTGGTGTTATTAACATTCCCTCCAGGCCTGGAACTGAACTCATTCCCATGGCTTCCAGCCAAACAACAGATGGGTGTATGAGTGAAGATTCACATCGGGAAGATACACGCCTTGGAACGATCAGTCAGGAAGAGCACCAGGGCAGTGTTTGCACAGGGGACAGCTCGGGGCAGGAGTGCACAGGGAAGGAGGACACGGGGAGGAGGGAACCGCAGGGAGGAGGCGGGAAGAAAGCTGTTACCTTGTGGGGAATTGCAGTCAACGTCTTGAAACACAATGTGTATGAACTGCTGAATGGAAAATAAATGGGACCTCAGCTAACTGTTTTCTTGCTGTTTCTTTTTACTGTTAGACTCCATCCCCAGAGGGGCTAGTGCTGCCGTGACTTCCAACAGTTACCCCAAGAACCCGCAGCTCCGCGCCTACCACCAGAAGATTGACAGCAACCTGGGTAAGGCTGACGGCCGCACCAGCACGCAGATGCCACATGGGCCTGGCTCTCCCCTCCCCACATCAAAGCCAACATCATGGCTTCACCATGCCCACTTCACCCCCGAGCATCCTATAGCCTGCCCACCTATCCCCCCTCCTGAGAGCCATGCCCACCTCCCCGGGGGCTGTGACACTAGTCTGAGTTCAGCCGGCCTGGACACACCACCGTACTCTGTCCATGTCAGCTGGCAGCACAAGACCATGGTCTCCCTCTCTGGGAGGTGGGGACGGGAACAGAACCCACACCTGACGGATGTCAGCAGGGTTACGTGCACCTGACCCATTCGCTGCCTAGCTGCCAGAGTACATGTACTACACCCTCTGCTGGCCGCCCCTCGCACTTGGAATACCACCCAGGCCCCTTCCCCAGCCTCTGACCCCCCTTCCCCACAGGGCTCTCCACCCCATCTTGCCCTCATCGCTGCTGGCTCACCACGGCCCCCTCGCTGCGGTCTCCCTGGCCTCGGGACCTGCACCCTAGCGACTCCTCCACTGCGGTGCCCTCTGCCTCCTGCCCTGTTGAGTCCCTCCTTAAAAATGGAGCCTCCTGTCCTCTTCCCTGTGTGCACTGTTGGATCTGCTGGGTTCCCTGTTGTCTTGTTGCTGACATTAAGCCCCAGGAGCTCAAGGACATGGCCACTTTGTCCTCCAGCCTGCCCCGCAGCTTTGCGGCAGGCGCCTGACAGCCACTGCCTGATAGTGTGAATTTCAGGATGAGTGGCATGTGTGGAACATAGAGTTGTCCTGCAAGAAGTCCCCACGGCACCCCAGGGGTATCTCCCATGTGCTGCTCCCCCACACCAGGAGCCACCCCAAGGCTGCTGGGCTGCCCATTCAGTCTCCTGGCCCCTTGTGGGAGCCCCGCTGAGCACGTGACACAGATTGCAACATTTCAGGTTTCCAGAGGAGTGTCATAGGAGACTAAACATGAACCCAGGAGGAAGCGTTATCGGGGTGTCAGTGCCCACCTGTGAGGGGCAGGGAAGCACCCTCCCCTGGCTCATCCCAAGCTGCCCCACCCCTGCACCTGAGTGAACACAGGGCACAAGCACAGGTCAGAGGCCCCTGTTTTCCTTAAGTGCCATGTCACCTGGGTGTCTGAGTACACACGTACATTGTGGAAACTGGTAGAATTAGGTCAGTGCCATGAGGTTAAAAAGAGCTCTGGTGGCACAGTGGTTAAGCGCTTGACTGCTAACCAATAGGTTGGTGGTTCAAACCCAGCAGCTACTCTGTGGGAGAAAGATGAAGCAATCAGTCGGCTTCCATAATGGTTATGGCCTTGGAGACCCTCTGGGGCAGTTCCACTCTGTCCTCCAGGGGCGCTGTGGTCAGAATGGACTCCACAGCAGTGGGTGTGGTTTGGGCTTTGCTTCTGTGAAGACTGACAGCCTTGGAGACC